TTCCCTAAAATTCATCCTTAAACTGCTCTTAACTCATAGGGGTGTTTCCTGGTTTGTATTTATATTGATGGACATTATTCATAATAGACACAGAAATCATATAGGTGAGTTTTCTGCAAAAATGCAGAGCATCACAAGTTCTGTGGTTGCTTCTACTGTCTGCCTTCTTGTCAAATCAAAGACTTCATTGTCACACAGATGAATGAAACCACCATTAGAAATACTGAATGTGAAAATACTATCAATTCTTACCTGTTACAAAGCGTATTACAATCTGAACTGACTCAATTAAACAGAATAGTGAAAAAAGAAAAGTAACTTCTTCCAACTACCCTTTCTCTCTTTCCTTATATATATTTTTTCTCCCCCACTCTTTTCCCCACAAACCTGCAGATATTATTAGTATAATCCAAATATCCTTCCCTATGTATCTTTTTACTATAAACAAACAAAATTAGCTAAGCTTTCAGGAAGAAAATTGACACACTAATTCACATTGCAATGTAAATAAATGACAACTTCATTACTTTTCATAGGGACACTTACTTTTTTATGAAAAAAAATCTGAGTAATGGTCAGTGCTAGCCTGCAGGACAACCTGCTGCCTTTCTCTGATGAGTAAGGATACTAACACAAAACATCCACATGAAACCAGTACACTGCATTTAATTTGTTGCAATATGTTATTTTGAAGTATATGAATAAAATCTGGTCTCATAGATAAGTATTTGGACAAAGAGGAAATGATTTAATAGTCTTAGGTAATTGTGAATATTCTTTAACATTATACCAAAATAAACATTAGTTACTTACAAGATAAATGTAATACATAATCTGAAGCTGTATCAATGAACTTTGTGCACTGATAACATTAATACTGATTGCTATCTCTTACACCTTAAATGAATTCCTTTACTCGTATGTGCTTTTGTATTGTCTTGCATTTGGAAATATAGTACATTGAGGTATGCAGATTTTCAAAAGGTTGCCACATTTCATTATATAATATTAAAAACCTTAGTTAATAACACAACACCACTGATATCATTAAAAACATCTTCAAATATTTGGAGCTCTCAAGCTCAGGATATCAGAAACTTTCCAAATTCTCATTTTCAAAGGCTTGAAGATTGTCACTGGCAGCAAATACTGTATGTAGGTTGTTCCTTGACATGAGAATCTTAATGTTCATTTATAAAAAAATATCTGTAAATACCCAAGACTGAATAGCCACAGTTTGACGGTTAAGTAAAATTGGTGATCCATGAAAAATAGGGACTAGATCAACTCACAATTCAAACAATATATATTTGACTAGAACAAATGGGAATGTCAGATCATTTAACCTAATAGGTCAAGCACTTTTTCAGACAATCATGTTAAATATATATGTTTCAAGGGTCAATATTTAATAAAATAATTGTTGCATCTAGGACTTTCTTTAGGGAATTTTTTTTCTTCTACAAGTGGATGGTGGTGAAGAATACAATGACTTTATTTTGTTGCGACTGTTGGTTTACACACCATTATATTACCAGTGCAAATGTCAACATAATTGTTTTGAGATGAAAAATTTAAAAAATTGGACATTTGAATGTTGCAGCATCTTGATCATATAAACGATCTTTGCTAATTTAGCTGGTGCTGAGATCTGATGAATACATTCAAAATAGAAAGTTATATCTATTTTAAGTAGACCTGCCCATTTCAAAAGCAAATTTCTGCATTTAAAACCATTTTTCATGTTTCCAGTTAAATTAGTTTAACTTGTTGAGTTACTAAATCATTAGAATATGGCAGTGCCAACATATATATTTTGCTTTTTTTAATCTAGAAGGCATTCAGTAAAATAAATCTACCAGGTAGACTTTAATAGGACTCTTACTTATGTTTACTTCTTCAGCAATGCAATACAATAATTTACATTGTAAACATTTCATTGGCTTTTCAAGTTTGGAAAGCTGTATCAAGTAATTTTTGACTTTTCAAAAGTTTACTATATCTACATTTAAAAATTAAGTTCCTTTTTAACAACTCTTAATGAGTGGTCTCAAAATAGTGTTATAACTTACTTACCACAATATTATCATAAATATTCTGTTGTATAAGACACAATAAGGTAAATTATTAACATCTATATAAACAAGGACAAGGTAACATTTTTTGTCAGGTAAATAAGAAGCTCAGTTTCTTGCAGTTGCCTTGGAATTTGGACTACTCCCTTCTGTGAATCAGAGAATTGTCATTTTCATCTTTCCTGTATCTTTAGATGTACACAGCACATCTAAGTTTTGAGGAAATGAGTCTTCCAGTCTCACTTTAGAGCAAAAGATCAGAGTCCAGAGTCGTTTTGATCTTTTCCCTACCTGTGATGAGCAGTGTTACCTTGGGCAAATTCTCAAGGTCTCATTTTTTCAAGTACAGTTAGAAATCTGGGAGTGGCTTTGGGGGCATTCTAGCTCAAGGTCAATCATGAGAATACAGTCAAATGTTTGTGAATGCTTTGTTCACCTGAAAGCCTGACATGGAGGTAGAGGATCTGCTTTCAAAGCGGCTCACTTACATGGCTGGCAAGTTGGTGCTGGCTGTTGACCTTAGATGGCTTCTCCAAAGTCCTCATTAACAGCCCTCTATCTCCCCCAGAGAGAATGTTCAACCATATCTAATTAGAACTATGGCAGTGTCATGTCATTCAGCCTAACAGACTAAACATTAAGTCCTCCAGTGAGGGCCTCTCAGGTGGCATAGAGTTAAGTTTCAGCTCAGTCTATGGCCTGCGTTCGATCCAGATCCCTGGCCAGGGAGCTGACCCACATGGTGCAGGAGACCTCTCCTGTCATGCCTGCTGCTCCTCTTACTGTATTTCAGTAGATCCACCTGTTCTGCTCTTCATTCTGTCTCTGGTGAATCCTTTCACCCTCTGCACCTCTGGCCTACACGCCAGTTATATGCAAACAACAACAAAAAAGTCTCACAAAGGTTATGAATTTCAAATTTGAATGTTCATGTACCAAATGAAGCAGGAAATAATTTTAGGGAATTAATTGTATAAGAATGTACATGAATTTATTTGAATGAGTATTTAAGGCTTTCATTATATACACACTGTTTTTGGAGAGAAAAAATAATTGTTTTTATTGAGAAAGCCCAACATTTCATTTAGAGCATCTTTTAAATGATTTTTGTTTGAGGTATTGCAATTTTCAGTGCCTTGTATTTTCTGCAGCTATATCAAGGGAGCTGTTTCCTCCTAATTTTTTTTTTTAAGTTGGGAGGAGGGAAGTGAAGCAGCCAGAAGTTGATAATATAATACCTGTGAGAAACAAGGAAATACTTAACTTTGTAACCTCCCTGGGGGTTTTATACTACCTATTAATTCCAACTTGCACTGAAGCACATTGCCTTGCCCCTGCCCTTCTGGAATCCTAATATTCTGCTTTTGCTAACTTCCCGGTGGTCTGAGGTTGGCATGTGTGTTCAATAGTTCATCTGACCTTAAACCATTGCCAGACTAGAGGTCTCTTAAGTGCTTCCAGACCTGAGCCAGCTATATGGGTTCTGCCCTAACAATGCTTCCTAGCCTTGCTTTCTTTCCATTTACTCTCTTCTTACCCACAACCCTGCTCCTAAGCTAAGCCACTCCCTCCTGCCTTACTACTGAGGTTCCCCTGGCTCTGGGCCTCTAATCTCATCTCACCTTTCTAAGCTGATTTCAGAATTTTGCCTGGCCCACATTTTTTCAAGTTCACTCATTGTTTATTAATGTTCCAGTGTCTCAGCAGGTCACTGGAGATGTTTCACCCAAAGGTACCGAGTTACATTTTACATTTAATGGTATCTTTCCTTTAATGTTATATTCCCTTTATGCTGAAAGGGAGTGCTAGCTTTTCTCTTTGCACTTCCACCGTCCTATAAATGCTGTGGGTTGAAATCCATCTCATCCTCTAGGGTCTATCTCAAATGCTACCTCCTTTGCAAAGATTTTCCTCATGACCTCCTTTAATCCTCCATCACATTTTTTTTTTGAACACTCACTGAACTTTGTATCCCTAATGACATTTAGTCATTTCAGTTAAAAAATATTTTAAAAATTGTGTAAACCTCTCATTTAAAATTGGAAAAAAACAAAATTCCTGTGTATCAGACACAATGTCTGTAGAATTAAAAAAAATCACATGTCAACACACATACGTGTATGTATATTTATCCTTTTCCTAAAATGAACTTTGTTCCAATATGGAAGGATACAGAGGAAGAACACTGCTATTTATTCTCAGGTTTTGCCAAAAAGGAAAAAATAGTTGCCCAGTTGTAATTTGAGGACAGGAAAATAGCTTTAACATATTTTTCAGTTTTGGACCCTGCCAAAAGGAATGTTGGGCAAACGTTTACTAATTTGGGTGCTGGAGGACACGAACCCTTAACCTAGAGGCGCCTTGACTTGAGCTGGCCAAACGCTGGCTGTGCCCGGACGGGCGGCGATTTGCGCACCAACTTGGCTTTCTTAGACCCCAGGAATCAAGTCGACCCATTCCTCCGTTGCCTGCCAGTCTCCTCGCCTCCCCCTACGGGCTCGAAGCCACAGGCCTGCGCCCCTTCCCAGGGCCAAGGGGGAGCGCACCGAGAGAAAAGGCAGGCCGGGCTTCTCCCGGCGGGCGGGAACCAGAGCCGGGAAGGCGAGAGGCTGGAGACCGCGCTTGGTCGGGGTTTCCAGGTGAAGGGCGAGAAAACAACCGGTTGTTCTGGGAGGAGGCCGGCGGGCGGGGCGAGGGCGGAGGGCACATTGCTTCATCCTGTACATTTTACTGGAAACAGGACGCATCCGGAGGAGGGGCCGGGAGGCGGCCCGGACGCCGCCAATGGCCCGGGCCGGGGGAGGCGACCGGGGCAGCGTGCGTTGTCCCCGCCCCCGGCAACTGAGGTCGGTTAAATAGGCGAACAGGCTCGGGTCGCGCCTACGCCCGCGCCGTCTCCCGCAGGCCGGTCCCTGAGTCCTCCCCTGCCGTCGCCAAGAGGCAGCCGCGCGCAGCGAGCCGGTGGCGCAGATATCTGGGGGAACCCCGAGCGCCGAGCCCGGGAGCATGATCGTGGACAAGCTGCTGGACGACAGCCGCGGCGGAGAGGGGCTGCTGGAAGCGGCCGGCGACGGCGGCCTCATGACCAGCCCGCTCAACCTGGCCTACTTCTACGGCTCGTCGCCGCCGGCCGCGGCCCCGGGCGCCTGCGACGCCAGCTTCTCGTCGCCCGGACCCTCGGCGCCCGGCTCGCCCGGCTCCGACTCCTCCGACTTCTCCGCCTCGTCCGCGTCCTCCTGCGGAGCGGTCGAGTCCCGGCCGAGAGGGGGCGCCCGCGCAGAGCGGCTTCTAGGTACCGGCGCGTCTCCGGGGCCCGGTTGGGAGGGGAGAGGAAGGGAGGACGCGGCAGGCCGGTTGGGCGGCTCCGAGCGCGCCTCGAGCCTCGGCTCACTCCTAATTAGGGGACCACTCGGGGCGTTGCGCTTCACTGGGCCTTCGGGGTGAGGTCGGCGCCCTCCAGCCGGCCTTGTAGCTGAAACGCTTCTCTGAACCAGAGTTCTGACTTATGGGGGAAGAGGGTGGGGGCGGAATGAGCCACGCTAGATTTTTTTCCGCTCTCTTTTCTAAACAGTTTTTATTAAGCTGTAAGTCATATATTAGCGACATGTGAATCTGATGTAGTTGTCCTTCTTTCTTGTGGCTATGTTAGGCAAAGGCTGTAGCGGTAAGGGTCTGAGTACTGGTTTTGGTCACGATATATTTCTTCTTAAGTATGTGTGGACATTTAAAATAAAAGGATTTCATAGTAAAGAAGACAACCTATACTATAAGAAGTAAGATGAAGCTGGACCGAAAGCTCACGGTAGACACCTTTCAGTTTGTGATGTGAGTCGGGAAGTCTGGCCAAGTGTCTGCGGTCTTGTTTTTGTTCTTTAGTGTGCTTTAACATGGTGAAGCCTTATCTTGTAAAGACAGGCATAATATTTCCTTTTTTCAGTGGTGAGTTGGTTAGTTTCTTTTCTTAATGAACTGCATTGCATAATTTGGGGGAAAACAGGATGCCCCTGCGGGTAGATTAAAGAGTATGTAGATAATCTCAAACGAGAATCTGACATGCACGTTCCCACTGCAAGCCACTCCGTCTTTAGTAGTTTTATTTTAAAAACTAAACTTTTCATTTGGTTTAAGCCATTTGGTTGTAGAAAAGGCTCCCGGTCTGTTATGGGTAGCATATACTCTGAAATATATGTGTGTGTGTGTGTGAACACATAGACCCTTTTCTCCCACATTATTTCTTCATCGGACTGGAACGATTTTGCTTTTCCTTGTGTTTGCCACAGAGCCATAGGGGATTTCTGAAACAGAATTTTTCTGCTTCTGACGATGACTTACTAACTGCTGTCATTTCAGAGAAATGCTATTAGATTCTGGCAAGACCTTAAATTACACTTAAGCACAAAACTGAGTAGTATTTTAATTTGCCCCATCATTAAATTGTTTCTCTCATATATTTATGGTGTATATGTTCAAATTAGGCATTATTTCTTACTGATTCTCCAATTTCAACAGAATGGCCGGATTATTCATTTCCTGACTTTTAGTATGTTTATCTTGTGTTCAGCTCATCCCAGGAGGTTGTGACGTAGTAGTGGTCAGAGGGAATGCTGCACTCATACTCTACATATTAAAGTGTACTTTTAAAGTTTAAATATAAAATGAGATCATTTTCTTTGTACTTAAAAGGCCTGTGTAAGCAATTTCAGAAACAGTGGGAGAGAGGAAATCCTGTGAGTGTGTGGAAATGTACTTAGCTCAATAAATTTAAGCAATATTCTTGGCATAGCTGAACAGAGGGAGTAGTTAGAGACAAATCTAAAACATTGTGAATTGTTAGACTTTCGTACACTGAGATCTTTGGAGGAAATTTGTGTATGTGTGAGTGAAGTTAATTTAGAATATTGATGTGGATATAAACCTTTGGCTTGAAAAGTTAGTTCATTTTTTATCCTTTGCTTTCCAAGGTGTTTTGAAAGTCAAGATTTATGAGAACATTTATGATCCTGTATCAGGGGTGGACAAGACTGAACGACAGGCTTAATTTGGGTTTTACCTTTTGGCACATTTTTGAGAGTTTTAATTTCCTATGGAATTGTAGGGAAGAGGTATCAGGCAACACAGAACCTTTGTGTAGGACTGATATATAAGGCTGTTAACCAGAGTGAGTTAAAATGACTTTGCTGTCCGTTGGGGACTTTATACAGTCACAAGGTATGTTTTTGAGATTATTAAAATTTGTATCTGTGAACAGATTTAATTGGGATCTGTTTGATTTGCTTCTGAACAGTTGAGCCTCATATGGGGGTTGGAAGGCAGCAGAGAGGACCCTTTCAAGGTGTTCGCGTGAAGAACTCAGTGAAGGAACTGCTGCTGCACATCCGAAGTAATAAACAGAAGACGTCTGGCCAACCTGTGGATGATCTGAAGGTAGCACCTGCTGTTTTGTTTGGGTCAGGGAATGGGGAAGTTAGTCTTTCAGGATTGTTATTCTCTGCTGGGCTAGATGTGGTAATCTGTGGACCACAGAGTCCATAGGGCAGAGATCATATTTCTCTTGCTGTCTGTTCTGTCACCCATGCTTAGGTACTTGGTGGGTCCACACAAGAGAAATCTAATATATAGATAAATGAAGGCCTCTTGGGATAAGGACATAAACAGGGTTCAGTTGAATTGGAACACTTTGACTAGGGTGAGAAAACTCAAATGGTTGTATTAATTTGAATTGACTTGAGAGAAAATGGTGATAGTTGCAAGATGGAATAAAAATTAAGATGAAAAATAAATGTTAGAGTAATCATATCTGAGGCTTATGAGATGCTCTAGTGTGGTAGGCATGAGTCTAGTATTGATATATATTAGGTAGGAAACCATTGGATTTTTTTTTTCCACTAAATTGGATTTTTTTTTTTCCTTATAGGCACCAGGTGTGAACAGAGAGCAATTTGTAGGTAAGAGTTGTTTCTATGCATAATATGAGGGCTTTAGAGTGGAGTGATTTAGTATGAATCTGGATAAAATTTGTAAAAATAAAATGAACACAGATTCCATATTACCTTTTTGAGTGCAGAATTGAAGAACGAGGTATCATATAGTGGAAAAAGGAAAGGACTCGATTCATTGTCTGATGGACCAGCTTGTAAAAGGACAGCTCTGTTACATACCCAATTTCTGGTAAATATTTCACTGTTTTCCGTTAACTACCATTTGGAAATTACTCCAGGAGCATTTCAGAAGGGAGTATGAAATTTACTCTTCCTTTTTAGACACCACCTCAAACACCAACACCTGGGGAGAGCATGGAAGATGTTCATCACGGTGAATCCAAGCAGGACAGCAGTGCAGATCTGCTTCAGAACATCATCAACATTAAGAACGAATGCAGCCCAATTTCCCTCAATACTGTCCAAGTTAACTGGGCAAGCCCTGTGGTAGTCCCTCAGTGCTCCCCCAGAGAGAACTCTCAAGACTTCCATGGAGGGCAGATCTTTGCTGCGCCTCAGAAACAACAGCCGTTCCAACTCAGCAGCTCCCCATACATGATGGACCAGGCTTCCATGTACCAGTATTCTTCACAGAACCAGAACATGCAGCCGCCACAGGAGAACATGCAGGAGAACGTGCAGCAATACACCCACACCCCAATTCTGGAATACAGTCCTTACTCTAGAACTTCTCAGTCCCCAAATTATGAACCAAACTTGTTAGATGGTCAGGGGCCACAGTTCTGTGCAAACCAGAGTTTTGCTGCCCTTCTGAGTGGTCAGGGGGAATCTGATAATATCACTGTTCCAATTCGGACGGCCCCCAGTGTTCAACAACAAAGTGATTCCCACCTGCAGAACTTCAGCATGATGCCACATGGGGCCTGTGAGGCTGTGGAGGGACAGGATGTGGGCTCTGTGCCTTTTAGCACTTCACTGCCATTCCAGAACTTCAGTGGAAATCCAATGACCACTACACAGTTAGGGAAGTCACTTTTTCAGTGGCAAGTAGAGCAAGAAGAAAACAAACTGGCAAATATCTCTCAGGACCAGTTACTTTCAAAGGATGCAGATGGTGACACGTAAGTTTCCCTTTATCTTGTGTACCCAGTTTGGTAGGCCATTGTTATTAGATGTCGTGGACATAGAATTTCTCTAGAGTATGCCAAATTAGGCCTTCTTGAGTAGTTGGCTAGCCAACATGACTAGATAGAAACTGCTATACACCGATAGCTGATATTTCAAGAAAGAGTTTTCCTGACTGAACAAATTATCTGTTCTTTCTTAATAAAAAAATCTGTGTCTTATTTGAATAGTTGGTTTTGAAAGATCAGCATAAGCTATGTGTAGAACAAACAACAGATCTTGATTAGTTGATCATGATAAACAGTAAGGTGATTTGTAGATTGAATCCTAATCTAGATTGACAGGTTTGTTGCCTGGAGAAAATTATTTTACCTTTTTATGCCTTCAATTCTTACATATTAAGTGATACTACCTCCCTTCCAGAGTTTTTATGAATATTAGAATCAATAGATTTAAAGTGATCAGCATGGTTATTAGCATTCTTATTTCTGGTAGACTACCTCATTCTGTTGTTACTCAGATGTGCCCTCAACCTAGCTGAAAAGACAAATTATGCTCTATTGTATTCCATTTCTGTATACCAGTGTAACAAGAAAGGGACTAAAGAGAAGTTTTTTTTTTTTTAAGGGAGATTAAAAAAAAAACAAACATTAATTTAATGAAGTTAAAAGTATTTATCTCTGTCCTTGTTTCCTAGGTTCCTCCATATTGCTGTTGCCCAAGGGAGAAGGGCACTGTCTTACGTCCTTGCCAGAAAGATGAATGCGCTTCACATGTTGGATATTAAAGAGCACAATGGACAGGTGAGAATCTTGACAATAAAATAGTCAAGATGTAGCCCTGGTAAAGAGAACAATGACCAGTTTCATTTTTATGGTTAGGTCATTTCAGAGCTCAAGAACAAGAGAGTTTAGTTAATATTAACTTGGAGATGTTGACTCTGTCACCATTAACCTTGAAGTCATTAATGTTAAATGTAGTTGTTTGACCAAAGACTAACTGGGTATAATAAAACAACACCCTAAGCTTATTTTAGTTTCCTTGTGTTACAATATATTGTTTATTAATAGGATTTATTTTCTCTATGTGGGTCCCCTCAGTCTTAGTTTTAGGTTCATATTCCTTGTTATGATAGTGTTAATTGCTTTAAAACAATATTTTTTTCTTCTAAATGTCCACAGAGTGCCTTTCAAGTGGCAGTGGCTGCCAATCAGCATCTCATTGTGCAGGATCTGGTGAACCTTGGGGCCCAAGTGAACACCACTGACTGCTGGGGAAGAACCCCTCTACATGTCTGTGCTGAGAAGGGACACTCCCAGGTGCTTCAGGTAAGGCATAGTTAGTCAGGTTTTGGTTAAAGAAAGAAAAGTTGCATGTTAGAAGTTGATTGTAGGTTGCCTGTTGCAGTAATCAGTATGTGGAGTTGACTTAGTATTAGTTGAATACTAATAGATAAACATTTGTCTAGTTTGACTTTTGCTAACAGATGTCTATTTTTAAATTTTGTAGGCAATTCAGAAGGGAGCAGTGAGGAGCGATCAGTTTGTGGATCTGGAGGCTACTAACTATGATGGTAAGATACTGAAACTTTATTAGGAGGAGAACCATTTTGAGAATGGGGCCCATTCATTTTCAGGCTATTAAGTTTCATACCGAGAAGGAAGAGGGTTAATAAAAGCTAAAATACTCTAGATAAAATTGACACTAATATCCAGGGAAGGAATATTCAGATTGTTTGTAGACCATGTTAGAGGCCATCCTCAAGATTTATAATTATAGATCAACCAAAAGACTTAATGGAATACTTGACCACTGCTTTATTACACTTTTTGCTAGGCCTGACTCCTCTACACAGTGCAGTTATGGCCCACAATGCGGTGGTGCATGAGCTCCAGAGAAACCAGCAACCTCATTCACCTGAAGTTCAGGAGCTTTTACTGAAGAATAAGAGTCTGGTTGACACTATTAAGTGTTTGATTCAAATGGGAGCAGCAGTGGAAGCTAAGGTAAGATGGGGTGTTTGGAGATGGGCGGAGGAGAAACATGGTTATAGTCAAACACCTTGTTCCCTAGTACAGATAAAAACTTTTTTCTCTTTTTAAATTAAGAATAGTGATATGTGAATAGTTAAGAAACTTGGCTTGATTTGTTTTTAGTCTGGATTGTTACCTAAAAGTTGTGAAGTACTCTTTGTTTAAAAGGAGAAGAAAATACTGGACATTGATACTGTTTTGGCTTCCATTTTGATACACTGGTAGTAAAGGTAGTGCATTTTGTAACGGTTTCTTCATGATTGATGGATCAGAACTTAATCTTCTGTTTTTTAAACTGGAAATAATTTATTCCCTTTCAATGTTAGACTTTTTAACTAAGTGTATCTTGTGGACAAGGCCCTGAGCTTTAGGGTTTGGGATAAGGGTTGAATATACCTAATTGATAAACTTCTTGGGTCCTTGGGGAATTTGCTCTCTAATAGAAGTCTACAGGGTGACTGTCAAATCTGGAAGCATAATATATAATAGGTGGTTTATTGTATTACATTACAGTGAGGATAAACAGTATCATCTTTCCATATATAATGACTGTCTAGTATGGAGGGGTAGACTCCTATGAGTCAATTAGTAATTGCTCCTAATAGGAATTCCCTATTAGTAGGGAATTTAGGAGGATTCTAAATTGGGAGAATAAGAGATTCTGTTAAGTTTGAGATTAAAGAAGATTTGTGGAAAAGAGAGCATTCAAAATAAGTCTTAAAGGGCAATCAGACAGAGAGAGAGACATAACTACGTAGAGAACGTAGCTACTTCATTGCATCTGGATATTTATTACTTTTTCCTCTTGCCTTTGACAAGGATCGTAAAAGTGGCCGCACAGCCCTGCATCTGGCAGCTGAAGAAGCAAATCTGGAGCTCATTCGCCTCTTTTTGGAGCTGCCCCACTGCCTGTCTTTTGTGAATGCAAAGGTACTTACAGAAAGCTTCAGTAACCACCTAAGAATTAGGATGACCTTCATTAAACCTTCAGGCTTTTGAACTGCTTTTGTAAAAGTCCCTTTCCCTGATGGGTGTCATTCCCTGCTTTTGTCTTCAGGCTTACAATGGAAACACTGCCCTCCATGTTGCTGCCAGCCTGCAGTATCGGGTGACACAGTTGGACGCAGTTCGCCTATTGATGAGGAAGGGGGCAGACCCAAGTACACGGAACTTGGAGAATGAACAACCAGTGCATTTGGTTCCTGACGGTCCTGTGGGAGAACAGGTGAGGGCCACAGGAAGGAGAGGTCTGAAGTGAGGGAGACGAGCAGCGCAGGGCAGAGCCCACCTGCGCTCTTCACTGTCTGGGTATCACAGGGGTCCTTGTAGTGCTTTTGGAGTGAATGGCTTTGTTTCCAAAGGAAGATTGAAAAATTTGAGGATTTATCCATGCACTGAAAGTACTTAGAGGTCAAGCGGTCTTATCTCTTTTTCCATGATTTAAACTTGGGTTTAGAGTAAATCAGAATGGTTTGAAGTTTGCAACTGGTCAGAGGAGGTACTAAGGCCCCTACAGACAGCAAGGAGAGAAAGCATCTGAGTTCTGCGAGTAAGTGCTGAGCCTTCAAATACTGTGGGTGTTGAATGAGTTTTTGGAATAGTCTCAGGCACAAAGCAAGTTCAGTAAACATCAGTGATACTAACAAATGAGAAGGCTATTAATGTAATTTAGAACCCAGAAGTATTGTATGCTTTACACAGAACTATGCCTTACTCATCAAATGTAATCATATATTTGGAGGTTGAATAGTTTTACATGACTGAACTTAAACAAGAACTGAGTCTTTTAAAAACTTAAAATATTTCTGATGGAAACCTTTTTGTGGCAAAAATGGGGTGATTGTAACTGTGAGGAGGTCATTTATACTTTATTAACCAGAAAATAAAGTATGTGAAGTATAAGAACTCATTTTGAACATAGTATTGTAATAATATAATATATATTATAACACTTTAATATATATAATGCAATATTTTAGAGCTTTTTATAATTTAAAATAAATCTTTTGGTTCACTTGCATTATACCATTTAATGATTACAACATCTTGGCAACTGAAGAAATTGAATATCAAGAAAGGTCTAAAGACAGGAACCATCATTGTATCATAAATGGCAGTTTGCTTTTACTTCCCTGTTTGTGGTGTGCAGACTTACTGTGATGTTGTCTGGGATTAGTGAGTGAGGATTGCTATTTGATTCAATCTGTGTTCTCAAATTACACTCGTTTTTGCTTTCATATTTTGTGTGTGTGTGTGTGTGTGTGTGTATATGTAGGGTTTTTTGTTTTTTTTTTTAAAGATTTATTTATTTGTGCATACAGAACTGGGGTACAGGCCAGAGGCTCAGGGGTGGTGAGAGGCTTCACCAGAGACAGAGTGGGGAGCAAAACAGGCAGATCTACTCTGCTAAGGGGAGCAGCGGGCGGGCCAGGAGAGGTCTGCCACACCATGTGGTCACCTCCGTGGCAGGCGGGAATCGAACTCATGCGGAAGCTGCTTTAGATTCTCAGTGCTGCATTTTAACCTGCTGTGCCACCAGGGAGGGCCCTGTGTAGGGTTTTGACTCTACAATGGTTGATGAATACAGCACCTATCAATTGCATCTTCTACCCCAATAGTCTTCTAAAATTCACTGCTTTTAATTTGCTAATATTTGTCAGACTGGGGTATAAAATCATTCATTAGATTCTGAATGAGCCTGGGTGCTTTCCAGTGATCCATAAAGCTATGTGTAGATGGCTTAATTCTTAGATATCATGGCAATTATTTTGATTCAAAGGGTATTTACTAGTGTGGGTTCTGTATTTTGGCTTGTTAGTTGAGGCTGACTTCAAGACAGGTGAACTATTAAAAATAGACCATAATGTCTGCCTTATTAAGTGTTCTCACAAATAGCAAGAATAAAGATTAGGAAAAGCCTTTGGAAATTTTCAGTTTCCGATATTTTTTAATATCGGGTATTACTTGTACCCAAAGGCTTAAGAATGAATCTCAGTATTTTTTAAAGCTGCCTTAAAATTTTGACATACCGTTAAATGTTTCTTCATATATTTATAAGTTGACAGGAGTTATGTTTTGTATATAGAATAGAATGAGACTCTGAGGGGAATATGGTACTTTGGCCATAAAAAAGGAAACCTCACAAACCAATTTATTTCCTTTCCAGATCCGGCGTATCCTGAAGGGAAAGTCCATTCAGCAGAGGGCTCCACCCTATTAGCTCCCCTCACTCACTTGGAGCCCGGTCGGCAACACTCACTGTCAGTTAGGCAGTCCTGATGTATCTGTATATAGACCATTTGCCCTGTATTGGCAAATGTAAGTTGTTTCTATGAAACAAACATATTTAGTTCACTATTATATAGTGGGTTATATTAAAATAAAGTATGAAAAATATCTAATTCCTCTTGGCAGATATTAGTATTTCATGCCCAGGTATCTGGGATCTAGACATTGGGATTTAAACTGAATGGTAACATTGACTTCTGTTAACAGCAGCATTTGGTAAGAAAAGGCTTTGATTTGTGGCATAAGGCATTGCTCATGAAGCTCTTGCCAGTTTAAAAGCAGGTAAATTATAAACTTTTTTAAAAAGGAAAAGTGAAAGCATTTGAAAGCAAAAACATAAATGTGGGTGTAGTATTGGAGCTTCATTTGACCTGATGTAGCAGTTATTAGGTGTTAGACAGTCTGTAGTCAGGCATTGGACTAGATGAAAAATGCTATGATTATGAATTTGACTTTTGTAAACTATATAATTGTTATTTTATCTTTTAAAATATTTGTACATATTTGATTTGTACATGCCATATTTAAAATGTGTAAGTCAATAAAATAGAAAAGAACAGTAAATTGTCTCTATCTTAAAAAATTATGTATATTTAAAAGAACTGTTATAGTGTAACCACCCAAGTAATGTCTGTAAGATGAAGCATTTGGAGAGCTGTTCCCTTAATGACTGACAGAGCTCTGAACTGTAAATATGCTTTTTCTCATGCATTGAAATGATATATTTGCAGGGAATACATTTAAAAAGAAAACTTTTAGACTGCTTTCTAGAATTTATAATTTACTTGTTTCGTTGGAACTTTTGTTTTATTTTTATAGGAGCAACAGAATGTTGAAGTATGTCTTACTGGTTTTCTGTTGTCAAATAGTGATAATGAAGCATGTTTTATATTACCATTCAGGAAAAAATGGTGTTTTTTTTTTAAGTTACCTTAAAATTAATTACTTTGCTTACCTCTGGCATATCCTAAAAAACATACTTGCCTTTGATTGCACACTAATACTTTTTGTAATAAATTTGATTCATTAAATTTTTTTTTTTGAGATGTCTCACAAGCAACTGACTCACTTTGTAATGAAGTACTTAAATCCTTTTTAAAAAGATACCCTGTGGAATGATCACATTGTATGACCCAGTATGTCTTGTGGACAAAAGTTAGTTATAGTTATTTGGTACCTGTAAATATGACTGATTGTAGACCATTCTGTTTATACAGAATTTCATGCATGGTTTTAAATAAAAATTAATTCATTAACATTGTTTTAAGGATGGTGCATTTCTTTCTCTGTATTTCCCTAGGATGAAAAAGTACCATTAATTATCAAACTAAATACTTTTAAATTAGCTAATAAATTTTAACTTACATTATTTGAGAACAGGATTCCTGTACCTACAAAAAGGATCAACACCAGAAAATGCTTTGCCAAATTCATTAGAAGAGGTTTATTAGGTTCTGAAAATATGGAAGTTTAATGGATGCTGTTGATTACTTAGAAGCATTTAAGCTAAAAATGCTAACTCTTTATGACTTTTTTTTTCATATTTTAACTTGTGGGAGCAGTAAACGTAGGAAAAACAGTTGGGTATTTTAGAGTTATTCTGAGTGATACAAACATAGTAACAGCAGTAAATGAGTCCTACATTTTTCCAGTAAGCCATTTAACATGTGTGAGAATAAACATCTCAACATCTCATCAGCGTCAATTACCCAACATATATTATGGTTTCTAATTTATAATCTCTTGAGAATTTGGTGAAAACCAAATTTTTTCCCTGGAAAAATGTACCTATGCATTTTACGTTCAAACTTTTTTAAAAATGGAGCAAACATTTTATTTAACAAATTAAGCAATTTGTAGTCAGCATTTGATTTTGGTTTCACTTCTACAACCCAGTTCACAAGGTCTCTATGGCCCTTTCAGATGCACAGTTTTTCCCAAGTGAGTTTTTGAGTTTCTGCTTCAGTTCTTTCATAATCCATTCAGCCAGTGCCTAGCAAGCATGTATTTTCTCTTTGTTTTTTCAGTTGTGTAAAACTATGCTAATATGTGGCTTTCAAAGACATAAAGACTAATTTTTACCCTTAAGATGCTTATGTGGGAAAACCTTTTAAACACCATAAGAAGGGGTAAGAAATACAAATTCAGAAGAGGAAGAATTTACATCTGAATGGGGAAAACTAGGGGCTATCCAGGTAGAACTGTATTTTCAGAAGGACTGATTTGGACATTCATAGGAGAGGAATGAGAGGTAAGCAAGACAAACAGAAAGTGGCATGAAGCAAGGCAGTAGAATTTTGGCGGAATCATGGTTAATTCAGCATAGTTAGCATCCAATTAAGTCTTGTATGCCCTACCTCTGGTAATATATTCATGAGTAGTATGTTGAGAAACATCCTCAGGCTGTTTAGGAGCATGGCAGGAGAGACTGTGGTGACTGACTTAGTGGTATCTGCCTCAGTAGGGAATATGTCTTAAGGAATGTATCCAAGAAAAGCAGACTATATGCTCACTGCTGCAATCTGCCTAGCACAGTGCCTGGTATATAGTAGGAACTCATGGTGAGAAAATGAGTATGTGAATGTATACCAACCTTGGAATCATTAGTTATTGGAGAAAGTGGTGTTTTGATCCTGAGTTGTATCATTGAGTACTAATGAATTAATGACTGCTATAGGTAAGAAATTAGTCCTATAATTTAACTGATATTGATGATATCTTAATCAGCATAGTTAATTCTCTTGAAAAGTCAGGCAGTCCATCTTTGCAAAGGACTAACTAATGCTATAGTTTGGCATTTCACTAAGGAATTCCCTCAAGTGTCACAGACCACAGTTTTCTAGCTTTGTTAATCAAACCTGTAACATTTACTATCTTTTCTATAAATACACACAGACACACACACTGGGGAGATAGAATTCCTTCAAATTCCTCTAACCTTTAATGTCATCTTTAGCTCAGTATTATTACTGACTTTCCATTTTCTGATAACATCAGTTCTGCACTGAATGTGATGTCAGTGCAAAATCAACATCAGTCATTGGCTGAGTTCTCTGTGGTGCTTCTGAGATCAGGTCTGGGTATAAAGTTGTATGTTTGTTATAATCAGACTATCTGGTTTTGGTTTTCCTGGCAGTGCCCTGGATTTGACCTTGAGAGGAGGAAGTGTCTTATTCATTATTAGGTACTCTGCACCTAGAATGTGGTAGATATTCAATAAATAGTTCTTAAATGAAATTTAATTTATGGCTGCTTTTTAAATTTTCTGAGCACATTCTACACTCAGTGAATAAACCTTTTGTCATTTGCATTAATTATATAATTTATCCAGAAATACTTCAGCTATTTACACCTAGTCTGGTTTCACTTTATTTTCTAATCATGAGAATATTAACTTCACTCCACCTTTGGAATATATGTAGAAACATTCCATGATGGCAGAAACATTCCATGACGGCAGAATTCTAGGAGGAGGGAGTATAAATTGCCCTCACTAGCTTTCTTGTGTGTCTGTCATTTAGTTCTATTCTCCCTGCTCTTTCCATCTCCTGTTTATCAGCCCAAGAGGTTCATGGGATGGTCATAGCTGACAGCTAATCCAGCTGCTGAATACCTTAGCTTTCAGAGTTTGATGGACATTAATATCTTTGAACCTTGTTAAACAAGCAAAAATGTCTTGGCCCCACCCCAGATATCCTGAATCAGAATCCCAAGGTTTTCAGTGCTTCTGGTATATGTGAAAATGATTCTAATGTAGCTTAAGTCAATTCATTAGGAAATGCAGTCTTGGGAAAGTGACTGGCTGGGCAGTAGGCAGATGGTGGTTAATAGAATGGGTTTCTGGAATGCCACAGAGGATGAAGTATCCAACTGATGAATGACAATCACATGCAAAGATGTTAGATCCTGTGTTACAAAAAACAGCTTGGAAGGGGAGATCTTTTTTCTAAGATCATTCTGGTTTTTAATCCTTAGCTTCATGCATTCCTTGGCTCATCTCATGGCTTATACCTTCAAACTCTGCTTCCACTTCTTGTACCAATGTTGGGGTCTCTCCTCTCTATGTCTCTTATAAGGACTTTTATTATTGGATTTATGACCCAACTAGATGTTCACAATTACCTCATCTCTAAATTCTCAATTACGGAAACAGCAAGCACACATGAAACTGGGGCCAGTGATACATAGGATTCCTGTGTACTACTCCATGGAGAGAATACTAACATGAAAGTTCATCACTTCAATAGTTGGCATTCTTGTTTCATCACCTTTATTTTCTCTGGAATATGTTAAAGCCCACCCTAGTCGTTGTAGAAAATCAGCATGCATATGTAGAAAGCAAGTTGTGTTCCTCACAGCTTTCTAATTATTCCTCCAATCTCATTTTCCTCAATAATCCAAAACTTCCTCACCATTTGACACAGTCTTACAGAACCTAAAAAAGTTTTCAAAGGCTTAACATTGTTTATTGAATCAAGTGCAAACTTGTTTTTGTTTACGAATACATTTTAACTTCACCTTCCCTATCTGTCTAATCTTATCTTCCACTCTTCCCCAACAGGTATCAAATGATACTTTGTTTATTACTGTTTCTACTAATGGTCATGTTGTCCAACTTGTGCGCATTTGAGAAGACTGAGAAAACGCTGCTTTTTTTTCTCCCAGATCATACTTGTCACTACCTTTACATAACTACTGGGATTTGAACACAGTTCCTCTAACTTTAAATATGGTTATTTTCAGTTGTAACTCTGTCTTAGTTATTGCAATCTGGAAAGTGGACTCAACCAGCATTTACTGTTATTTCAGTAACTATTTTTTCTTTATTGAGGTAGCATTGGTTTACAGCACTGCATATGATTTAGGAGAATCACAAGCATCACATATTAGATATATGTGACCAAAATCATGCCACCATCGAAACATCCACAGTCCTTTACCCTCTGTCACTGGGCCCTATCTTCCTTTGTTCCTACCTTTCCCCTCCCTTCCCCTCTAGTAGCCTGAATTCTGCAATCATATTTCTAGGGCCTGTTTTGGTTGCTTTTGTTGGTCTTTTTGTCTTCCTCCTTTTGATTTATTTCATTTAGTATAATCCTTTTAAGTTTCACCCATGTTGTTTCAAATGCCAGAAATTATCTTTATTTTGATAGCTGAATAGTATTCCATTGCTTATATATAAACACCACACCTTCTTAATCTACTACTCTGTTGATGAGCATTTAGGTTGTTTTCATAACTTGCCTATTGTACATAGTGCTGTAATGAACACAGAATACATATATCCCTTTGATTAGTGATTTTATATTCTCTGGATAGGTAAGTAGGAGTGGAATTTCTGGATCATCTGGTAGATATATTTTCAGTATTTTGATGAGCCCCCTTCAAAGATTCATCAATAGGGCCTGGAGAGTCTATATTCTCAGCAACAGTGTATGACATTTCCTTTGTCTCCATAACTTCACCAACATTGCTATTCCTGTTTTTCTTTGTTGGCTTTAATATGGGCCATTTTCATTGGAATATGGCTGTATGACATGTGGTTTTGATTTTATTTTCAGGATGATCAATGACATTGAGCATTTGTTCATGTGCCTGTTGAACATTTGTATGTCTTCTTTGGAGAAATGTCTATTTAACTCTTCCCATTTTTTTTTATTGGGTTCTTATTCATTGTTGTTGAGCTTTATGAATTCTTTGTAGATCTTGAATATTAGAAAGCATTTTTTTAAAGGCAAAATATATATGTGGTTTGAAGAAAAAAAGAGGGTAGCACTTGCTTTTAAAGACAAAAGTATCTGGTAGATAGTATATCTAGGGATACAGATAAGGTTAGTGATGATGAGCAGAAACTAGCATCAGTGTAGTCAATAGAATTCTAAGATCTCTAGCGATGGTGTACTCCTGTGATTACGTTATGAGGCAAAAGTAATTTTTCAGATGTAATTTAAGGCTTCTAATCAATTGAGATTAAGCTAGGAAGGCTTTTAGGTATACCTGAAATAATCATGTGGACTATTTAAAAGTACAGAGTTCTGGGAGAGGGGCAAATGAAATAAGCAGAGAGTTTTCTGTCTATAGAAGCGGAAGTCAGAGAGAATCTAAGCCTGAGAGGAATTTAACTTATAATTATTGACATTGAAAATGGGAGGATGGGGTAACGAGCCAAGGAATGGATGTAGTTCCTAGATAGCCAGGAAGAAAATAGAATCCTAAGACCCACAT